CTTTAGAGGAGCTGCTGGGGCTCCCGCAGCCTCCGCGACCCTCAGGGACAGTCCCCGCTGGTTTCACAGCCCGGGGTTGTGGGGACGTCTTTCCCCGGCCCTGGAGCCCTGGGCTGAGGGCCTGCTGTGGGGCTGGGGGCCTGGTGTGGGCTTGGGACCCCTCCCTCCTCCGGGAAACCTCCGCTGCCGAGATTCCCTCCCGGGGTTTAAACTGTGGCACCGGGTGTGGGCCCGTGGCCGTGTCTCTGTGATTCAGCCCCGACCCGCCCGCCTCTCCGCCCCTCCTCCCGGTCTCGGTGCCTCTTCAGCTCCCTGGTTGTGGGGCTTCTGTTCAGCCGGATCTCAGGAGGCTCTGAGTGATGGTGGTTCTGTATTTTAGTTGTAATTTTGATGTAGTTGCGGGAGGCGGCGGGTGCAGCTGTTACCTATGCCGCCACCTTATTTCTCCCACATTTTCTCTTACGACAAATTTTCTTGCCTTCAATTTACAGTAGTAATATTTATTTCTGACTATATTGGACATCAAGACAATTCAGGAATCTCCACTGTCTGTGTTATCTCTACATGAGTTTATTTTGAGGACATGAAATGTGTAGAAATTTTGCAGGGCCACCCTCTCTCTCAACACACATGGACACTTGCATAGAAGCTAAAATTAGTTGTATCAAGTAGTGCATATCATCCACATTTTAAAATTGAATTTGGTAAAGAGCACTTGAATTCAATATATATATTTTTTTGTTTAAACTTACATTATGGCCCAGACGGGCGTGGCTCAGTGGTTGAGTGTCAACCTGGGATCCAGGGCATCGGGGTTTGATTCCCAGTCAGGGCACATGCCCGGTTGCGGGCTCTATCAGTGACTCTCTCATCATTGATGTTTCTATCCCTCTCTCTCCCTCTCCTTTCCTCTCTCTGAAATCAATAAAGATATATTTTAAAAAAATAAACTTACTTTATGACAAAGGACATTCATGAACAACTACCAGTTAAAACTGAATATTTGTTTCTGTAGGAAAACCTCTCCCAACCACACTCACACTTTTTTTTTTTTTTTAAGTAATAGGATTTAGGAAGCATAATTATAATTTGATATGAAGTGTGAGCCCTGGGCTGATCTTCACATATAATTGTTTAAATAAATGACTGGAAATAAATTTGAACAAGTGTTTGGATTTCTATGGATTTTTATTAGAGTATTAAAACATTGAAAATAATACACATTCACAACAAAAGAGCATTATTGCATTTTCTCGACGTGCACATGATATTACGGACAAAAGGAACGTATCTCACAAATTGATACAGAGTGATGAGTTAAACTCCTGTTTACAAACAGCACACAGTATTTTGCATATATTGACTTCACTTAATGTTAAAGTCTTATTTCCAAAGTTAATGTTAAATGCCTTGTGCATACACAATTATCAAGCAGTTACTCTCATTGTCTTCTCAAACATGCAAACATTCTGCTAACTATAAACCTACAAGGAACTTGGCTGCATGTATTTCAGAAGTGGTCAGAGCAGAGGAGAATGCTGGAAAGTTTGAGTCCTTTCAGATCTTAATTCAAAACAGGAGGTTTTCATCTATGTCTTCTGTAAAAGATGAAAACAAAACAAAGCACATTGTTAGAAAGTAGCCAGAGTAGTAATAGAAACAAATAATGTTGGAGTGGAAGGATGAGAGCAGTTATTGATAAGGCAATACGATGGTTCTCAGCCCTGGGAGGCATCAACATCACCTGTGAAGCTTCAAACAAATATATAACTTCAGGCTTCACGCCCTGCGTCCTGAACCAGGTCCCCCAGGGGTGGGCCAGGGGCATGTATACATTTAGAAAGCTCTGCAGGTATTTCTGATGGAGGATAGAGAGCCAGTGATAGAGGGCATTGAGGGTAGGCCCAGCCAAGCAGTCCAAGTATACTAATCTGTAAGGGTCACTGAAATATGATGGAAATAAGTAGAGGTACAGTGCCAGTTAGATCAAATTTCCAATCAGGTAATTGGAGAAGAACTTGTTGCCACACCTGCGGAAGAACACAGCATCCTCTGGGGGACATAAGACTACCCCTTACCAGTATGGCCCACCCTCACTCAGCAATTATTGAACAAATAGTTAAAGCAGATTAATTTGAAGCATACTAAACTACTGCCCTGTCTGGGGCACCAGGTAATTCTCCTGCCCCATATAAATCTTCCTCTTGTTGCAAGAGTAGGAAAGGTGATGAGTTTGTTATATTTCTTTTGAGCACTGGCTTCATTTAATTGGGATAATAGTCTCATTACTTATAAATGTATTTATACTTGCATATATTTGAATAGGTTTATATTCTTGAATATATTTTGAATACATTTCTATTATATATCTTGAGTATGTCTATTTTCTTTTCCCTGGTGTAACTGCCCTGGTTGAAGTTCTCATCAACTCTTGCCTGAATTTACCACAGCATCTTCTCAACTGTTCTTTGGCTTCTTCACGGTGTAACCAAAAGAATCTTTCTTAAATATAAATTCAATGAAATCACTCCCTTGTTTAAAATGCTTTGGTGATCCTCCAGGACTCCCAGGATAATGTCTTTTACTGGCTTCACAGGACCTGCATGATCTGACTCGTTTACCCTATTAGTCTCACTTGGAAGGCTTTTCTAAAGATAGTGTGGATATATCTCAGTAAGTACACATAAGTATCTTATGTCCTGGGCAGTAAATAAGTAAGACTCCACCTCCTCTGAATTGAACCCAGAAGGAAAATGAGTCCTGCTGGGGATGAATGGCATACCCTAATGACAGAGCTGGAATATTTGAGCACATTTAGTTCACATCAAAGGCAGTTAAAATTCAGGAAAACCCTGGTTAAAGTGATCTTGTCCTTCTGTTGATTTCTTAGCCCCGAGGGAAGGAAGGGTACACTCACAGAGATGCATATATTTTTTGCTGTCCCTAGCTGCATCCCAAAACAGTAACTTGTTTACTTGTTCTGACTGAATGTTTCGTATCTGCTTTATTGGTTTACTATGTGATAATTCTTTCCCTTCTTCATAATAACGTAATCCCAGCCAAACCACAGTGAACAAACAAGACCATTAGGAGCTTTGCAGCCACTGAACTTTAAGCTCCTCCTGCTCCTCCCAGACAGCCGCCCAGCACAGAGCTGGAGCGAGCCCCCTGCTAAGGAGCTGCCACGAATTTCGAAAGACCAGCAAAGCACAACCGGTTTCTTTAAATAAATGGTGTCTGTTCAAATTTGCCTTTTGACTCCCCTTTAAAATCAAGTGCCATGTAAAAGGGCATACATAAATACGTCCTGCCCCGGCTAAGTTAGTCTCCCTTCAGAATGAAGGAGAGGAGAGGGCCGGCAGCTGTACTTGGGTACCTTTGAACATGGGAATTGGAAAAGACGGTTTTAACCATTTGTATGGATGTATCTGAATTTGTAAGTACTGTGCTTATAGAATAGGTGTTAGGAAGGAAGCTGGCATTATTTGTATGAGCCTGGGCCTTAATAGCTTGTCAGTTTCCTATCTGTGCTAACTGGGTATAAATGGCATGTGGCAGCCGGTCTCCAGGATGTTCCCCAGCGATGCCCACCTCCAGCACCTCCTCCCGCATTGTAGCAGGGTTGGTCTGTGGGACCAACTGAATATGGCAGAAGCAATGCTATGTCACTGCTGAGATTAGGTTAGAAAGGTCAGGGCTTCGGTCTTGGATTCTCTCTCTTTCTCTCTCTGACCATTCGCTCTGGAGGAAACTGATGTATGCTGTTAGCAGTCCCAGGAGAGGACCACAAGGGGAGGCACTGAGGCCTCCTGACAATAGCCTTGTGAAGGGGCCTCGAACAGATCCTAAGCCAGGACCATCTAGGTAAACGATTCCTGGATTCCTGACCCTTGGAAACTGAGGGAGATTTTACGTTTCTGAGCTTTAGGGCAACTTGTTATGCAGCAATGGACAACTAATACACAGAACTAGTTGCTTAAAAAAATATACACTCTTTGCTCATTACAGGTGTGCTTATTTCCCAGAATAATATTGGAGAGATAAAGAACTAATCTTTTCTGCTTGCCTATTTATCAATAAATACCTAACTAACTCATACTCTCAGCTCTTTCTCTCTAATTTCAAGTCATATTACATATGCATAAAGAATATTTTTAAAGTGAAAGTCACACAAATTAGCTCTTTTTGGGAATTTTCTTCTCTTTGAGGAACATACTTTACTGCTTGGTTGCATGTCATTCTACATGTATGTTGTGAACATATGTATAAAACCTCTGCTTTAGAGAATTGGTGTTCACTGTTCATTTACGTTCTGCAAGCAGTTTTGACTGCCTATTTTTATTTATTTATTTATTTATTTATTTATTTATTTATTTATTTATTTATTTATTTATTTAAATATATCTTTATTGATTTCAGAGAGAGGACAGGAGAGGGAGAGAGAGAGATAGAAACACCAATGATGAGAGAGTCATTGATCGAGCCCACAACCCAGGCATGTGCCCTGACCGGGAATCGAACCCCGATTGCCTGGATCCTAGGTCGACGCTCAACCGCTGAGCCACGCCCGGCCGGTCTGACTGCCTATTTTTAAAAACATCTTTCAAATTTTGATTATTAAAAACATTCTTGCTCATAAATATCAATTCAAACTTAGGAAGAGAAAAGGAAATAGATTAAGACATAACCTAGCAAAACAAATGTCTAAATTTAAATTTCTCCACTGCGGGAGTAAAGAAAGAACGCTCTTTATTTCATTTTATTTTTGTCACTGAAGATGAAGCAATGAGTCACTTTTGGATTAAAGAAATAATATGAGGATAACAACTTGTGATGTAAGACCCAATCCTCAGGGTGTTGGTGATGAAATCTGAGATTCTTCTGACACCTGCCATTGGCAGAGCCAGGCTGACTGTTTTACTCTTCACATATGGTTTTTAAAAGTTGGGCCCAATACCCAGGTTGAGGGAGGGTATAAAATCCTTTCCTCAGAAGGGCAGCCTTCTGAGATTTGACATGACTCTCTGGATTCACATCATTTTCTTTCCTTTTTTTTTTGGTTCATCCTCACCAGAGGATATTTTTTCCATTGATTTTTAGAGAGAGTGAAAGGGAGGAAGGGAGTGGGGTGGGGAGTGAGAGAAACATCAATGTGAGAGAGACACATCCATCGGTTGCCTCCCTCAGGCGCCCCAACTGGGACTGGGAATTGAACCTGCAACCCAGGTAGTGCCCTTGACCAGCAATCGAACCTGCGACCCTTCGGTGCAGAGGCCAGTACTCTAACTACTGAGCCACACCGGCCAGGGAACATAATTTTCTTAGGCTTAACCAACTGCTGAGACCTCAGTGCAGTAAAAGATAATGTTGCTATGACAGCGCTTACTCTGAAGGAGTCCTGGCCGGGACACTGCCACCTTGCTGTTTCTAGGCTTCAATGTGAACACACAGCGGGACCTTTCTATGAGGGCTCCAGGGCTTCGGGTTTGTTTAGAGAGTGACGGTGAATTTACCTTCTTTAATTCCGAAGCAGTGGCCCCACTCCTTCAGGGTGATGTGCTTGTCCTTGTTGGGGTCACACTCATCGAAGAAGCGAGTTATGCAGTGTTCCATGGGCACCAGAGAGGCTCGCAGGGGAGCGAGCTCAGAATGTGTCAAGACTCTGCAATGAAATAAGTGGCAGCCTATTAGCCGAGTAGCTTGTGTGTGAAATTAACACTGAGAATCACCAAGGGCATTTTTCTTCCTCAAGGTTGATGACTACGCCAAATAAATAGTGCACTCGTCAAAAGCTGCAAATGAAATAAACTATTTATGGGTAAGATAGACAGCTTTTGGGGTGTCAATTCACAAGGTTGCCTTTTTCACTGGGAACTGTTGCCCTCCACCCTAAATTTATAGGGGTGCGCGCCAGCAATCTTGTTGGTACAACCTGACCATACCTGATTGTTGCAGATGTGGGCACTTGACGCAAGTTGGGCCAATCAGATTATCTTGGGACTTTGGGATCAAGTTTGAGAGTTAGATGAGTGTCCATGGAGGCTGGAGCCTAACATATGACCTTGAGAACTGGGCTGTGGTCATTAAATGTGTTATTTTCAAAGCAGTTTTGTGTTTAGACACCTAACCATATTTGTTTGGCATTTCAGGGTTCTGGACTGGAATCCGGAAATTTCCTAAATCTATTTAGAATTTCTTTGTAAAGATAACTAGACATTATATCAGGAAGATGACCTATTCATGGGAAGGCAAAGAGTTTTTACCTGTCCATAGGATGTTGGTCAAGTTCACTAAACTGCCAGTGTACAGGATACACATACATGTGGTAGTTTTTCTTAAAGTCCCTTAAGAGAAGGTCGATGGAATGGTCCCCGGCCAAGAGCCTCTTTTCATCCAGGTAAATTTTCTTGACCTGGGATTAGGAAGAGAGAAGCCAGATCATCGGAGAATCAGAGAAGTGTACCAAGTTATTACTCGCTAAAACTTCCTGAAGAGTAACACGGCAGAGGCAAACAAGCCCAGGCCATTGCATGAGACTAAGAGAAATGCCTTCCAACCCACTCAACGGCCTTTCTTCTTTCTACATAGAATAACAGCCAAGTTCAGAAAAGTTTTCAGCAGAAATTTGTCTTTTTTGATTTTTCCTTTTAACCAAGTAATGTTTATCGCGTTCCTTAAAACTATGGGAAGGTTTTAATGCAAAGGACTAAGTGACTTCGGCAAAACTGCTGATTAGTAGGTGCAAAGTCCTGCTCTTCCCCTGTGGGCACACTCCGTTCGTAATCCCCAGGGCAAGGCCACCCGCTGCCTGCTCAGGCTCAGTTTCGCCCTGGTGCTGTACTGTTTGGCTGCCCTCATCTCATCAAAAGTTCTGTTTTGCTTCTAATGCCCCCAAGGCTCTCTGTGATGGTGTGTTAAAGACAGAGGATAGAAATTATTTTGGGCAATGGGTGTAAAACTCTCAGCCTGTAACATTACCCATTATTTCACTGAGTAATTGGGAGCAATCAGAATAGAACTTCTACTCATTCCCTCGACCACATGGACCAACTCTCCTCATTAGCATGCATGGACTCCCTGTGCTCCTAATCTAGGCCCACCCCTCGCTGGTGCCCAGGAGCCCGACCCTCCTCATCTACTCAAGAAAACCCTACAGCAGTCAGGCACCTTCCCTTCTTCACTAGATTATTTCCAGAAGCACACAAGTATCTTCCACAGCCTCCCACCGGGAGGTGGAACTCTTAAACTCACATTCCCCTCCAGCTTCCACCTTATTTCACTTTTTCCTTTCACAGCCAAATGTCTTGACAATATTGTTTATACTTGCTGCTTCCATATCCTTCCTCTCACTCTATTTTGTCCCCCCGTCTGCTCAAGCTCTCCTCCTCTGCACTCTGCAGGAACAGCTCTTGTTGAGGTCAACTCCAACTGCCACGTGCCAGGTCAGTGGCCACTCCTAGTCCCCTTCCTCCAGCCTGAAAACAGCATTTGCCACGGTTTATACACACCCTCCTTCTTGTTTTATTTTTTTTTATAGCACATTTCATTCCACCTGACATATTTTATACATATATTTATATATTTGCATGTATGTTCATATTTGCATATATAAATATATACATACACATATATTTAAACACACACATATGTACACTTATTTGTTAAGTCTGTCTTTTTGCCTAGAATGTAAGTTCATGAAGGCAGATATTTGTGTTTTGTTCATGCTGTGTCTCCAGCATATAAATCAATTCCAGGTACCTAGGATGGACTCAGTAGCTATCTGAAGAATAAAATTTTCCTGGGAACTTCTGGAACCAATATTCTGCACATTTCCATCTTAATATATTACTGACATTATAAGCAACGGACTCTCTTATATCATAAATCTATGTCTGGCCTATGAGGGCAAAAAAGACATTTAGATTTAAATAATATGTCTGGGCCTGAATATATAAATGCTGAATTGAGGTTCAGTTCACTTAACCAGAGGTGGCTGGAAGTATGAGTTAAAGAGCCCTTCCTCAAGCTACTGCCCTTTGCGTAGGAATGGGGTGGTTTGGCGTGTCCCGTACCTATGGCATAAATGGTGGCTACTACTATTCTGTTAACCCATAGCTGCTAACCAGGTATTGGGAAGCAACTTGGGCTTTTGCTATATGCAGAGGGAGGTAGCCCCCCCACCCCACCCCATAACCCCTGCACCTTTTTTCCTCAGGCCTTGTAGACAGACACCTAGAGAGCCGACCTGTGGATAACTTACTTTATTTCTCTGCTTCTCATTTAAATATCCAGGGTGTTCAGGGTTAGGCTCATAAAGTTGCATGAGGATATTCTTGAGCCAGTCTCTCATTCTTAGAGGAAACTGAGTCACTTCAAAGTCCGTACAAGCAGGAATAGCTGTTTCAAATAGAGAGTAAGTTGATGTCACCTTCAGATCTTACTCTTGTCTTATGACAAGTCCTCATAACAGGAAGCCTGGTGACTGAAAGCATCCTCACTGACCAACCATCACAACAGTAGCCCTTCACCCTGGCAGCACAACAGACTTGCCCTGGGTGTTTAAAAACATATCAGATCCCAGTTTCCATTAAAAGAAATTCTGATTTGCTTGCTCTGGGGAGGAGCCTGGGCATTAGGATGCTTCAAAAGCTCCAAAATTAATTTAGATGTGCAACCAGGACTGAGAACCACTGTCTAGAACCAGAGAGCTGGAATTTCGAGGTGGCAGACACAAAAGCTATTTATTAGGGGAAAAGAGAAAAAGGTAGAAATTAGCTTATACTGTGGTCACAATGTAATACTTTTAAATCTCAGTGGCTTAAAGGAACAAACATTTGTTTTTTTCAGCTCTATTGAGATATAATTGACATACAACACTAAAAATTTAAGGTGTGCAGTGTAGTGACTTGACACACATATATTGTGAAATGATTGCACAGTAAGTTTAATTAATATCCATCACCTCATATAGTTATAATTTTTTTTTTTTTTTTTACTTTTGATGAGAACTTTCAGGATCTACTCTCCTAGCAAGTTTCAAATATCCCAGGCAGTACTGTTAACTATATAGTCACCATGTTGTACATTACATCAAAGGTTTATTTCTCAGTCCTGCTGCGAGTCCAGCACAAGTTGGCAGGGGGGTGTCTCTGCTCATTGCAGTCTCTCTGGGGCTCAGCACGATGGAGACCCCCCCATCTCAACACCATCTCATCACTGGGAAGCGGGACTGTGGAGAGCCCTGCAGCAGTCCTGAAATGCTGCTGTCCAGAACTCACATGGATGATTTTTGCTCAAATTTTTTTGAACAAAGCAACCCATATGCCATATCTAAAATCAAGGGGGCCAAGAAGTTCAGTCCTCTCATGGGTCTTGAAGGAGAGGAGAGCCGGAAATTTTAGTGAACACTGCTAATGTGGAGAATCACTTAGCGGTGAGGAGATCCAAAGACAACTGAGAACATCTGGGAAAGGAAGACAATTTAAAAAAACCCCAAAAACTTCTGCAAGAATATGTTGTCATAAAACTTCTTGGCAGAGGCTTAACTTGATTAGGGAAAAGGACAACTAATTTAGCAAAATTCCAGTGATTCATCTCAGTTATTAATGGATAACATTGTATAGTGGTTCTGAACCCTGGCCGTCCATGAGAATTGTCTACGTTACTTTAAAAATAAATGAAAAAACAATACCAAGTTTCCAACACAGTTCAATAAAATGGAAATCTCATATAGTTAAAGCCTGGGGATTCTTCTTCTTCTTCTTTTTTTTTAAGTCTCCCTAGTTGTTTTTAATGTGCACCCTGGGTTCAGAACTACATTAGCTTTCTCCTGTTTGCATATGTGTGAGTACATGAACATATATCACTCAGATATGCACAGATTCACTCCAAACCCTCTCAGCAATGGGGGTTGGTAGTAGTGATGGAATCTTACATTTGCAGGCTCCAAAATAATCCAGCTGCAGTTGGTGCCCCTTTTTGGTCCCCTCGAGTTTGCACTTAGTAGCAAACAGATGGCAGGAGCTAGCGTAGGTCTGATTGTCAGTGCCACAAACCTAGGAAAGACAAGCGTGAGACGAAGCTCGTTTCCAAATGTTCATTGGGAAAACACCCTGCTACTTAAAGCTCATAGTCTGGTAAAATTCTGCTGTGGCCCACAGGTGGTCAGGTAGGTGAGGGTATTGAAATTATAACTATCCCATTGGGCACAAAAGAATCAATTAAATTGTACCAATGGTGATGACAATTTAGCTTTAGATAAGCACAGTAGAATGAAAGCTGAAGATGTTCCAAGGGTAGAATGAATTTTAAAATGATTTCTATAGATCAGTGCCATTATTACCTTTTTAGGGCACAATTGAAATTCTTTGATTTTGCTAGCATTTGTTTCTATTTAATATTAATCCAAATATTAGATGATAACCTGGGCTTTGACCTTTTTTTCTTTTACAAAAAATTTCAATTGCTCCTTTCAGTTAAATCATTATTTGTTGCCTCTTAGAGACCAATTTGTAGAATACTTACTTGGTCAAGGAGTTTTGTAGGAGGACAAGTCATTGGATCTTGGCAAACACAGTGGGGTTTTCCCTGTTGGTCAGCCTTACACATGTGTCCTCTTTTACACTGGAAGTTCATGCAAGAATCTAAGCGAAAAGTTTGGACAGGATAAACTACATTGAACATGTAAATTCAAATCAATCCAGATAATTAGTTCCATTTTCATTAATATGAGAAAATTTGGGAAAACATTAGAAACCATTTTCATGTTAATTTTCAGGTGGAGTCCTCTGGCATCAGACTATGTTACACGATAGCCTACATTTTCTATACACTTTGGATCAGAGACTTAGAACAAACAGCACTTCTTGGCCTGCCCACAATGGTCATAGTCTGAAGTCTATAGTGCAATTTTGTGCAAGTTGTTCAGCAGTTTAATAAGCCATGAGAATTTTGTGTTGAAATTAAAAATATTCGTGATTGGGAATTAGATCTTAATTAAATATGGGATCTAAATTTACTAGTAAGTTATGGATTTAAGAATCAAGAATGTGGAATTAATTCTTCTCAGAAGCAAAAGGATTTAGATAAGATGAATTCTAGCTTTTGCAGTAATATTGCAACAGGTCTTCCAGCTTGTAAATACATCTACCCATAGTTGTACAGTAGTCTCCCTTATCTGCAGGGAATACTTTCCAAGAAGCAACCAATGAATGCATAAATAAGTGGAACAACAAATTGATGTTTCTCTCTCTCCCTCCCTGTCTCTCTCTTCCTCTCCCTTTCTCTCTCTTAAATCAATTAAAAAAAAAGAGAGAGAGGATGTCTACAATTTATGAGAACATTTCCTGGGGAGAAGTGGGGAAAGGAGACTTCTGTGTAGTAGTCACAAATGACAGGATGGGGATAGGCCAATGTGGCCAATTCTATCTTTTCTTTGATATAGTCATAAACAGCTTTCTTAGCCCATACTCACCAACATTGTATACCCTGATGTTGCCTTCAGTTGAACTTTCATCTTCATTCAGTGAGCTCTCTGCTTTTTTGGCCTTTATAATAACAAGAGGAAAAGTTTAAGTCTATTGGAAAGTTGTTACATATTTTATGTTTCTGCTGTGCATACCTTCATAGAGCTTTTCATACCCAAATCATTTCAGATCTCAAAAAGAGACACCAGTCACAACTGTGGAAATAGACAGTAATCTTTTGAGAGTAGGAGCTATTTCTATCTTCATCAGCTGCATTCAGTGTTGTATCTCTGTGGATTACTCAATAAAAGTTGGAACTAACATCAGGAGCAAAGTTGAAACCTCCTCTTGGGATTTGGGAAAACAGTAGAAATGTAATATTACCATGCAATTCTGTGGTTAAGACATGATTACCTCAATAATCTCTATGAAGCTGCTGGTGAAGATTTCTTACAGTTTCTAATGTGTAAGAAAACTCCTACCTTAGAATGACAGCCGAGTTCTCAGTAATCAAGGTTGTTACTGACCTTGCCCACCAAAAGCTGTGTCAAGACCTCCTGGTGGGTGGCTGCCAGGGTTTTACATGAAAGCTTCAAATGATTAAACAACCATATAACAATATGCTTTCCCCCTACTCTCATTCTGCTGTATCCCAATTATCATTTTTGTGCATGTTTGCTTAATAGAGTTGTAGCTGAAGTCTTTGTTCTTAATCTTTATAGTTAAATCAACAAACATAGCTGGATCTCTTATTATGTTAGAGGAACTTTGCTAGACATTGGTCATTCAGCTTGATATGACATGACACCTACCTGCTCTCAAGGCATTACAGCAGCAGTTGTCAGTGTCTCCCACCCCCCACATCTGTCAAACGTTTACCATTCTAGTTAGCTCCAGGGACTTTCAACAGCCAACATCTGTGTCTTTGTGGCTTCAAAACTGTGGAATTCTATTTAACCTGCTCAAAGGACAGACTGCAAGTTCTAGGGAATTAACACCCCTCTTGGCACTTCTTAGCCTGTAGAAATCGGGTACCTTTGATTAGCTTCCTTTCCTTCCCTGTCTCATTTCTCTGCTCCTCTTTGTTCCCCTACCTTCTAAAAAAAACTGCACTAAAATTCAGGGTCTGCTTCTAGGAAACCAAAACAGAATGGGAATTTGCAGCCTAATAATGGAGATGCAGAAGAAAATAAATAAGTAATATATTTAGTAATGTACTGATAGAAATAAGCACAGGAGGCTGAGAGCACAGAGAAAGGTCCTGGCTGTTTCTTGATAAAGCCAACTGCTTTATCAGACAAGCATCGCCATAAATAATCTCACCCCTTCGGATTCTCCAGGTTCACTGGTATCTACATTCTCATTCTCATGTGCTCTTTCTCCCTGCTCCTCATGTTTGATGTGATAGTAACTGGAAGTAGCTCTTTCAGCCTCCTGGAAGGCCTCGCTTGGGATGAAGTAGTCATCACTTGCACTGTGTCTGGGGCCGTCATCACCATCGTCAGTAGGCTCTACAGGCAGAGCTTCAGAAACAGTCTTTTTCTCCATCTCCTCAGTGTTGCCGATAACTTCAAGGCCAGCTTTTCCCTCTTGGCTCTGCCATTCAGTATCTTGATTGTGCTGATTGATTTGGGGGGCAGTTTCCACTTCCATTTCTTCATTGGAGTTATTCTCTTCTTGTTCTTGGTGACCCTGCTCAGATTCACCTTTTAGCATCTTGCTTACTTGAGTTGGTTGACTGGACTCTTCCAAAATATCATCAGATTGGGTACTGTCTTCTTCCTGCTTGCTGTTAGAATGCTCCTGGGGAAGTTCTCCCTTCCTTTCTTGGTTATTGTCGTGGGTACCAACTTCACCTGGCTCTTTTTCCCCTTCTTCTCCGTTGGGAATGTTTGGATCCTGCTCTTGGTTTTCTTGATCACTTAGGTTTTCGCCTTGTTTGCTGCTCCTGTTCAACTGAGAATGTGAATCAACTAGAAGCTGTTCTTGGTTTTCCTCTGTCTTTGTGATGCTTTCTTGTTGGTCAGAATCTACAGTGGAACTAACATCAGGAGCAAGGAAATCAATGTTCTCTGGCAGTTTTTCCTTTTGAGGCTCACTCATATCTTCTTTGGGGTCCAGTGTACCTTCAGTGGGTGTATACTCCAAATTCTCACTTAAGTCACTTTCGCTTTCCTCTTGATCCTGTAATCCCAGCTCTTGACTGTAACTCTGGTCCTGATCTGCTGACTGGTCATGGTTTTCCTCCTTTGACTTTTGTACTGAAGATTTTTCAGCCTTAAAAGGAAAAAGTTTATTTTGAAGCAAATGATAATTTAATAATATATCACATTTACAATTCATAAAGCCAACATTTAGTATTTGTTACTCTTTTTTTCATTAACATGTAAACTTATAATGTTCTTTATATTCTATAGCTACAAGTTTTACCTGAATTTGCATTTTGTGAAATGAAGCAATTATATACTACTTCAGCTGCAGGAGTAAATCTCATTAATTCTTATACTTCTAGTGAATGGAGGTAGTTGATATGATGTAAAAAATTAAACTGAGATGAGAATGAAGTAATCTCTTTGACCATGCTTTGAAATGGAAACCTTTGGAGAATTTGGAAATTATCTCAGCAAAACGATGTGACTTTTACCTTATTGTTGGGTTGCTCTTCTACAGATTCTGTAGATTCCTTTTCATTTTCTGCATCTTCAACTCTCAAAATGGGCACCGTAGTGTCGCCAGGTGTTACTAACAGTTCAGTCTGTTGGATGGAACTCAAGGACTCAGTAGTTGGTTGGGAATGATCAGATAAGAACCTTGCATTTGTCTGAAAAATTAAAAACTGGTTTGTGTTATTCATGTATAGATGATAATGTTTAAAAGTTTTATTTAATCTTTAATCGTCATCATTATTAGCAGCAATACACTTCATTTCTAACATCGATTAAAAGATATTCTCTAGAATTTATAAGGATACAAGCAAATGTCCAGAATGTAATCTTAAGCGAAAACAGAATCTCAATCATGTTTAAGAAAAAGTTATGCATGCAGAGACTGGATGAAAATAGAGCAAAAATGATTTCAATAATAGTGACTTTTGAGTTTGGAATTATTTTCTGTGTTTTTCAAACTTTTACAAAGCATTCATACTTGATAATTTTGAAAAATATTGTTAAGCAGAAAGTTGAATTTAAATTAACCATAGGGTATAGAATTGGATATTTTTTATAGAGTATAGCATTGTACATTTTCTTAAGTTAATAACTCACTAATAATTAGCAGAAAGTTTATAAATCTTTTATTCAATATTTGTTTACTTTCTTAACACCATTGGCCTATATCCATCAAGAAATTTTTATTTATTTATTTTATTTTTAAATTCTAAGATATATTTTTATTGATTTTTAGAGAAAAAAGAAGGGAGAGGGATAGAGATAGAAACAATGAGAGAGAGACATCAATCAGCTGCCTCCTGCAAGCCCCCTATATAGGCATTTGTCCTGACTGGGAATTGAACTGGAGACCTCTTGGTTCATGAGTCGACGCTCAACCACTGAGCAACACTAGCCAGGCCATCAAGAAATTTTTAAAGAAAAGCAATTTAATGTCAGCTAATTAAAAAAACTGAAACAGGGCACCAAGTCTAGTAGGGAAGAGCAGCTATGGCGTATTATTTCCACTAGGGGGATGGCTCCATCTGTTTCTAGGATGGATCCAAGGCATGCTGGAGAAGTTGAGACACTTCCCTTCAAGTGTAACACTTCCCTTCAAATCTTGACTCACCTATTTATTATCTATCTGTGGTTTTGTTCATCTTTATCCTGTCTTTTCTCAAAGCGAAGTGAGCAGGAACATCAAGATAAGGTTATGTACATTAAAATATTTTATAAATTTTAGGGAGTTACCTAAGTGAAAAATTACTATGGCTAGTAGTAATAGCATGCAGTGGTAATAATATAAAGCGTCTGATACCTTAGGCAGTTAGTCAGCATGAGTCTTTATTAAAGATGTTATGGGCATCTTTAACATCAGATGTCAGAGCCAGGTGTTAAGTATAAGACTCAGATTCTCTTTGGATGGACTAGTCTTTACTCCATTAGCAGGCCCTGTAGTGCTGACTGTGCAATATAAAGAAAGGCTGGGAGTACAGGATTTATTTTAGATTTGGTTTGCTCTCTTCTCATTATCTTTTCAGCTAAAAAGAGTGATAATATTTTTTAAAAATTTCCAAAGAAGCCATTTTTAAGAGAGAAAATGAGAAGAAATAGTGGCCAGGTTGACAAGTTGCCAGCAAGGGTATCATGTAAGTCAGTGGATGAAGATTTTTAAGCTATTAGTGGAAAACTGCTTTCTCTCTGCTCCCTTCCTCTTCAATTTCCCCTCTTCAAAATGGGAGAAATGGACAAGAACTTGGCATCTTATTTTCTTTCAGAAATGTTCTGAAAATGAAATTGTTTTAGCACAGATGCTCACATCTATATTTTATTATTTTTTTGGTTAAGCTTCATCCGAGGGTATTTTCCATTGGATTTTAGAGAGAGTGTAAGGGAGGGAGGGGAAAGAGAGAGAAACATCAGTGTGTCTCACATCGATTGGTTGCCTCCTGCATGCACCTCAACAGGGGTGGGGGTTGAACCTGCAACCCAGTAACCTGCCGTTGACCAGGAATTGAACCCTGGAGTCTTCCTTGCACAGGCTGACTCTACGACCACTGAACCACACCAGCCAGGGGCTCACATCTATATTTACAACGACATACCCTCTGGAAATCTGCATGGACTCTTCTAACCACACAGATTCAATCCACTGACTTTTGGAGAACTCAGACAGAAGGGGCAAATGATATAAAATTTCTAATAGGTAAAGCTATGAGAAGATATTTTGAGCATTTCCTGGGTCCATGTGACAACAAATTGTCCTAAAAAAGAAACATCTGGAATGTGTTTATATGCGGGCAGGTCATTCAAACTTTCATTCAAAGACGCTTTTGATGCCTGTTTACATAGCAGCAACAGCTGCGAGGGCAAAACACATTTTCAGGAGAAAACAATGGTTCTGTGGGGGCTCCTTTCTGAGCTGAATGTAATTTATCCCATGTTTGTAATTTCCTAGGACAATGTATAATTTCAGCTGGAGTGGCTTCACACTACTTAAACACAATTCTTGGCAGCCGTCATAAATTCTGCTTCCTGAGAACTGCTTGGTCTGGGGGGCATGGCGTTCATTTTTGCTGACACATCTGTCAGCCAGAAGCTGTCCACCAGCTGTCTAAAATGCAAGGATCAGACCTGAGAGGGAGGGAGCGCAGGGGCAAAAGAGAAATAGCTTTGTCTGTTTAAAGGAGCCTTATTCCTCCATTCTGTGAAAAAGAAAAAAAATACACAAATCCTTTTAGTTTAAGAACGGATGATACTGCTCTTTGGGGGGCATTCAAATGATCACCCAGCAATGGTTCTATATATCATCAACTTTCATTTTATTTTTGAGGCTGCTGATATGTCTCAAATGATTTGATTTGTACGGCTGATTTATTGTTTGTGGATGTCAGGGCCAGTATATCTGACTGTGAAGAAAAGAATATTCTAGTCCTGTCTGCTTTCAGTATGTTTATTTGGAAAAACCCCTAAGGATGAGTTAAGAACTAATTTGTGGTTACTGTACCATTTCCTGTCCCTAACCCCTTGGCCCCTGTTTTTATTACAGACTCAGAATTTCTCATCCAGGTTGTATTTGACTTTGAGAAAAATGCTGTTGGAGAGCGTCACTGTGTCCTCCAAGATTTCTCAGACAAATTCCTTAGATTTCTCATATTAATGTGATGAACTTCCATAGGAGAATTTATTTCTGCCTGTGCTCTTTGGTATTTGGGCATATTTCCTGACTAATAAACAGATAATCAACACTTTCAGTGACATATTTAATGCATCTTATGGAACCAGATAGTTCTGAAAGAAATATTTTTAAAAGGTAACTTATCTCAATTTTTCTAATCATTCATTCCTTGCTTGGGCAATAATAATAATAATTAATAATAACAATAATGTGATTATGACAAAAAAAATTGTTGAAAACCACTGTATAAGAACATTTTCTTTTAAATGGAGGATTTCTAAGCTAAATGTCAGGAGGGAGTGATTACCGGGATTGCAGCTGCAGTTCCCAAAATGTATAGGAAAAAAAGCACAGTCTTCATGTTTTCAAGACCTGTGAACAGAGAAGAAAATTAGCAATGGTGGGTCGTTTCCGTTTGTATGAAAGGTTAAAAGACAATCGTAGGAAATATTGAGCTTGATACTATCCTTTGTTTTGAAAGGTGGTTGCTGTCTTTATGGATTAACATGTCTGAAAAGAGAGATTAATGACAGTTTGTACCCAACTGTGTCCCAGAAATAGTAGATAACTCTTTTAAATTACGTTTTGCAATCATCATTTTATACTTAAATGCATCTACAGAGCTTTAAATGACACTGTAGTTTCTTCTGCTAGTTACTTTAATATTTTAAACTAACATGCTTAAGTGGATATTTAAAAAATATATTATATTATACATTATTCTACTGATTTAATACTGTAATCAAGAAGGACTCCTTGATTTTTTTTGGCCCTGCTTTGTTGGTGGAAACTCTCTGTTTATGACTGTGCGTCCTTGAATGAAGGCTCTATGCAAATCTTGGGTCTTAAGACTTGCAAATTCAAAGTGAAGTTAAAAGTCACAAAGTGAAGTAATAGGGCATTTTGAACAAATGACTTTTTGGTGGTGAAGAAACCCATGCATTTATTCAGTGAAGATTTTTAGTCATGAGACATGGCACTGCCCTAAAGGGACCACCAAGGTTCACCTAATTTAGAAGTTGCACGTTGGCCATCTCTGAGTTGGTGGTAGCCCGCAAATGGGTTTCGTTTGGTAGGCACTGTGTAATATTTTAAACTAGCATTTAAAAATCTGGAGATTTCATGTCAAAGGTCCAGATTTGCAGTTTCTCCTTGAACTATTAGCCCTCTTAATCTTAGCAACAGCAGGCTCTCATGGTGACAGTGGATAGATCTGAGTAGAGACTACCCTGTATAGGAGACACTGCCATTTGTACCTGGTCTGTTTCACTTTTGTTGTTTGCCTTGCGTTTGAGTTTAGTTTGTTCCAAGCCAACTTTTTCAGTTTAGAGATGAAAGAAGTGAGGCTGAGAGGCTAAGTAAATTGGCCTCTAGGTGAACTCTCTTAAAGGAGTGGGCTGTCTATAATTCCATGCACAGTATCCTTAAACCTGGTAATAGTTTTTAGTCTTTAACAGAGATTTTTCTATCTCTGAAACTCCCAGAAATAGTAGATAACTCTTTTAAATTACGTTTTGCAATCATCATCTTATACATAAATGCATCCACAGAGCTTTAAATGACACTAAGGTTTAAAAAGAAAGTGAGTCGTTTCTTCTGCTAGTTACTTTAATATTTTAAACTAACATGCTTAAGTGGATATTTAAAAAATATATTATATTATACATTATTCTACTGATTTAATACTGTAACAACTATCACTTCACACACACACACACACACACACACACACACACACACACACACACACTACATTCATGCCCACACATGTACACACAAACTCTCTCTCCCCTCTTTTCCTAAAATAATCGTATTACAAATCTTATTTAAATCACTGTTTGACATTTATGACAATGTAAATATTCACACCTGGCAATTTTCTGTGTTGAATTATATTTAAATTTATTTTCTTGAACAATATTTTGATTTTTTCTGGATGGACCTAGAAATTGCCTCCTTTTAAAATGTATTTCTCCATGTGCCATTGCTTACATTTCCTAAGTTTTCCAAACAAAATTTAAAAATTCCTTTTAATATGATAATGTCAGAAACAATAATAAAACCACAACAATAAACCCACAAAGAAATCCCTGGGGTCCAATTTCCCCTTGGTGATGTCCCTCCCAGAATGTTAGTTCTCTTGCTCCATTTAATGACTTTTCTCCTGGCATCTCTAGTCACCAGCATCCTGGAAATCCCCTTTGCTCATTTCTTGTGTTTGAGTTCTTGCTTCCTGCATCCCATATGTTTTCCTTTTTTGGAAAAGAAAACATCCCATATGTTTTTCATTTTCATGGAGCATATGCTCCAGAAACTTCCTGAGACAGTCATACAGGAGATAAAATTTTTGAGACTTTACATATCAGAAAAATACCTGCATTTTTTCTTCACTTGATGCATAGTTTGGCTGGATATAGAATTTTAGTTTGGAATTATTTTTTTTCTCTCTGAACTTTAAAGCATGTTCCATTTTCTTCTAGTTTCCAGTGTTGCTAGTAAGAACTCCAATGTAAGTTTCTCCCAACTATTTATAATGAGAATTGTTTTTTCCTTTTATTTCTGAAAGATTTTAAGTTTTAATATTTATCCCCAGTGGTCCAAATATTACAATCTCAGCCTTAGTTTGGATCCATTTCAATTTATTTTGGGCATTAATTAAGCCCTTGGAATTTGTAAATTCATATATTTCAGTTTTGGGAGATTTTTACCTGTTAGCTCTTTGATAATTTTCTCCTTTATATATATTTTTTATTTTTTTAATCCTCATGTTTTCCATTGCTTTTCAGAGAGAGTGGAAGGGAGGATGAAAGAGAGAGAAACATCAATTTGTTGCTTCCTGTATAAGCCCCAACCGGGACCAGGGATAGACCCTGCACCCAAGGTACCTACCCTTGGCTGGAATGGAACCCAGAACCCTCAGTCTGAAAGGTGATGCTCTAACCACTGAGCAAACTGGCCAGGGCTGCCTTTCTGTTCTTAAAAATTTGTCTTTTCTTTCTGAAGTTCTCATTAGTTAAATGTCAGAATTCTTGGATTGACTGTCTAATTTACTTATTACTTTTGCTCGTCTTTTCCATCTTGTTTCTATTATTGTGGGAAACTTCCTCAATTTTATCTTTCATTTCTTCTATTGACTTTTTAAACATTCTGCTCATATGCTTTTAATTTCTTATTTCCTTATGACCCCCTTTTAAATATTATCCTCTTTTTTTTCCATTAATATAATATATACTCTTATCTCTTGGAGGATATTAATCAAAAGTTTTGAAAATTTTCTCAGCATCCTGCATTTTCTGTATCCCCCTTTTCTGGTTTGTTCCTTTTGGTTTTCGTTTTTCATGTTGAAAGCTTCTCTCAAATGTCCAATGTCTTTGATTGTCCAGGAATATTTAGCAATGAGTCACGAAATAGCTAATTAGAAGCTTCATGGGCAGACTTGTTGCCTTTGAGAGTTTTCCCAGAGGGGCTAGGGCAGGAACTTAATGGTTTTGATGGGGCGCCCTAAATGTCACCGTCAGATATTTTTCTCAAGAAGGTCTTCGTATCTCCTGCCTTGGGGAGGTGGGTGTAGCCTGGTTGCCAGCATGCTGTGAGGTGAACGAGTGAAGGGCCTGGAGATCGCTCCTTGCGTAAACTGCCTCTCACTTAGTCCCCCGGGTTGCTGGGTGGCACCGCAGCCCACCTTCTCCTGGGCCTGTCCGACCAGGGCCAGGGAAGGACCTTCTCTTTCCTGTTTCAGGTGAAATGGGCGTGAAGTTCCCTGGCTGGGCGGGCATGGGAAGGCTCTCACGTTCGCTTATCTGACAAACTCTCATCCATTCCTTCTGATTTTAACCTCTCCCTCACCTCGTCTTCCAAGTTACCTGGGGCCTCCACTTCTTGAGACTTTTCTGGGTTCTGCAGTGTGAACTGGCTTCTTTGTCTATGGAACCCTTCTCTGAAAACCCTTAGGGTTAAGGTTTCCCTGTTCTACCAACTGCTTTCTGTCTTCTAAAAATTTTCTGATATCTTTTATTTTCTTTGCCTTCCCCTCTTTTTTCTCTGTCACTGTGAGTTTATATTATAATTTTTCTTTCCCTATCATTATACTGGAATTTTAGCAGAGAGTTAAAATATATGCATATGTTTTGTCTATCCCATTTAATCAATAGGATTTTCATTTCTTCGTTTGATTTATATCTCCCTTATTTATTATTATTTTTTAAGGATGTGTAAGAAGTACTATGGGTATTTGGTTCTAACTTATTAGCAAATAAAGTTTTTATTGAAGAAAAGGAGCTATAGGTGCTAGCACAGAGTTTCTTACTATGTCAGAAACAAATTAGAATTTATTCTCACCTCCCTCACTATTTGAACCTCACAAGGTAGGCCACCTGGATTGGGAGGGGTGCTTTGGAACGATGGAGACTAGAGTTGCACATAGAGGGTGATTTGGGATCGAGTGTGGGGGAAAACTAAAATCTTTTATAACCTTAAGTAACTAATCTATTCCAGTTTTAATAAAAATAACATGTACTCTGCTTGGATATTTAAATTTACTTTCTCTAAGGGACCCCTCTGAAAATTACTATTCATTACTTCAGTAGAACTTCAGCGTACTAAGAGTGAAATGTGTGTTACAGCATTTATACCTTTAAATAAACATTATTTAGAACTAGTAATGGTGTATAATAGGCACCAGAAGTTTATATTATCAAAGTGCCTTGTGTTTACCAAACAGACTTTTAAATGGGATATTATCTTATTTGATCATTGCAACAGCCTCATTGATGTGGTTGATGAACAATCCTAGAAAGGCTCTGACAGGACATGAGAGCTGTCAAGGTCAAAGAGCTGTTAAGAAGGGGAATCCAGCTTTCCTGACTCTTGTTATAGTACTTTCCCAGCTCTCTTGCAAATAAAGATCTCCATTTACCTCTTACAGAAATATGTTGGGAAGGAGAAAAACAAACAATTAAACAAACACCCTAAAACCAGGATTGGAAGAAATTCAGAATTCACTTTGAGTTTTTAAATAAGGAGTTTCAAACATTTTAGGGTTTATGATTTTTGCCTATGTGGAAAAATAAACATTTTTCTGTGTTGGGAGAAAAAGGCTGATCATAGAAGATTGTTTGGGTTACTTGATATCAAAAGTCCCTTTGAATGCCTTTTAGTTTAAATAAGGCAAAAGCATATAAATTACATTTCCCTTGAGTGAAAAACATGTTTAAATAAAAACTTGTATCATGTTAGGAACAGTGCTTGGGACAGTTATTATGTGAAGGATAGACCAGTAGAAAGACTTAATAGGAGGAAATGGCAATATTAAGGTGAGAGGCGGTCAGAGTGTTGTATTTTGGCTGTGGTCTTAGAAATGGAGAAGAGAGGAA